TCCCTTCTGTCTCCTGACCCCTCATTTCTGACCATGGGATGCTGCTGCCTCTCTTGGACACAGGGACCCATGGGGCTGGGAGGGTCCCTTGTCCTGCATGGTGGGTGCTGGGATGTGTTCCCTGATCACCACCAGGCTGCTGCTCTGAACAGAAGAGGCTTTTTTGGTTGGGTCCTAACTGTGAAGTGCTCCTTTGGTGCTGAATTTCACACGCTGCAGCTAGGCCAGGGCTGTGTGGGTCTTGTTGGAGTTACTCCTCTCCAGCCTAGATGTTTTTGGCAAGAAATAAACAACTACACTGAGCAAAAAGACCCCGAGCACGTCTGTGAGGGGATCGTGTGGGCATTTTAAAGCTAATTTGGATTAGAGCGAGGTGTGAAGTTATTCTGAAATACCTATTGCACTTGCTGTTGGATCAGTCTTATTCTGGGATAGGAATGCTTGTTCCAATTTAGTTTAATCCTTTCTCAAAGCTAGCTAATCTAAACGAGGCCAAGGCACTCTTGTGGAACGTGCCAAAGTGTAGTTAATCCAAAGAGGCGTGATGAGCAGAGAGCTGTGCTGCCCTGGGCGAGGGGAGTGCCCCAGGGGGAGAACTCGGGTTTTAGTGAGGCAGTGGCTTTTAGTAAAGGAATTTTGGCCCTTTTTGAAAGCAAGAGGAGCGGGCCCTGCCTCTGCCCTGCCTCTGCCCTGCCCTGGTGGAGGGTGGAAGCTGAAAGCTGATCCTGGAGCGGGACGAGGGTTCCCCGGCTGGCTCCGCGCACGCCGGCGTCGACACGGGAGGTGATGGATGTGTGGGGGAGAGGGTCACGCTCCAGAGCCACCCTGCAGCTCCCTGCCATCCACCCTGCAGCTCCCTGCCATCGTAGGCACCACCTGGCACGCGCCCACGGTGCCTGCTAATTGGGTATCAGCCCTATTAATGAGGAATCTCTGCACCTCGCTTCTGGTGGAAGAGTGCCACAGTGGGGACAAAGAAGAGACACAGAATTTTGCCTCCTGCCTTTAAAGAAAAGATGGAGATGATGATGGTTCTGCCATCAGGATTGGGTGTTCTCAGGTGCCATGGGGAGCAGGCTGTGGGCTGTGTCCCTGGCACAGTGGGTGACAAATGGCCACACAG